GCAACGGAATGAGTCCCCCCATCCTTCGCCAGAGGTGGCAAATTCGTTGGGCCNCATCGGCTCTCGGGCACTTCAGGACCCTAGAGTTCTCAGCTTTGTTGTTCAAATGGTTCCTTAGATCCTCGATTTTCGCTTCTTGGACGGGACGTCCGCAGCAACGGAATGAGTCCCCCCATCCTTCGCCAGAGGTGGCAAATTCGTTGGGCCGGCTTAGGACATTCACATTATCTTGTTCTAACTGTCGTAGGCGATTCCCAAATTTTTCTTCAATCACCTTCGCTAGTTGACGAGCCAAGGGAGCGGATCCTCCTGATCTAATGTCCATACTGGTTTGAGGAGTATGCCCCCTTGAATGAATAGAAAANTGTCGTAGGCGATTCCCAAATTTTTCTTCAATCACCTTCGCTAGTTGACGAGCCAAGGGAGCGGATCCTCCTGATCTAATGCCCATACTGGTTTGAGGAGTATGCCCCCTTCAATGAATAGAAACGTTCATGTTGTCATCAGCATGATCCCTCCTCCCAACATGACGAGGAGCTTGTAACTCGAGACTTCTGTGCTGGAGAACTTTCCCTTTTTGTCGAGTATTCACCATGGTCACTGTTCTTTCTAGAGAAGAAATCAGAAAAACTACTCGTTTCCTACAGACAGCGCCAGATTATGGGTGCAAAGATCCTGCACAATATAAACACTAGAACAGATCTCTTCCGTGGTGAACACGTGTCCAAAATTGGGTGGTTGGTCTTGCTAGTTGAACAGGTTGTGAGAGTCGAAGGTAGATAATCAATCGTTGGTATGAGTTGCCTGAGTGATCCTGAAAAACTGAAGGAGGTTCCTGAAACAAAGAAAAACAGGTTAAAAGGGCGCCGAATGTTTTTCAGCGTATCCCCTCCGATGGTCAAGTCAGTTCTTTGAGAGAGGAGAAGAAGAAAATATTGTATGATGGTTGAGAGAGGGTTAGTTGCGTACCCTTTTTCTGTATTTGTGAAGACTATTTATACCTTAAAAACTCATCACTACTGACAANCCTGAAAAACTGAAGGAGGTTCCTGAAACAAAGAAAAACAGGTTAAAAGGGCGCCGAGTGTTTTCCAGCGTATCCCCTCCGATGGTCAAGTCAGTTCTTTGAGAGAGGGTTAGTTGCGTACCCTTTTTCTGTATTTGTGAGGACTATTTATACCTTAAAAACTCATCACTACTGACAACGTAGCTAGTAGGTAATCATTGGGGGTGGGTAGCGTGCACACCAATTTCTATGAGTAATGATCTTATTCTTTACTGCTCGGGACCCCGAGCAACTAATGTTTTCTCCTCGATCTGTCGAACGTTTAATGATCTTCTCTCGGCGAGGTGTATTAAATGCTCAGGCTTTGGGACATTTATTACCTTTCACTTCCGAGCTCTCATGCATTAAATACTGTCTCATCAAANTATTCTTTACTGCTCGGGACCCCGAGCAACTAATGTTTTCTCCTCGATCTGTCGAACGTTTAATGATCTTCTCTCGGCGGAGGTGTATTAAATGCTCAGACTTTGGGACATTTATTACCTTTCACTTCCGAACTCTCATGCATTAAATACTGTCTCATCAAAGAAAATGTGCATTAAATACTTGTTTTCCTAAGTCTTGTGTCAGCAAAGGCATTCTGGTCTTTTTGTCTCTGATCTGACACAATACGCCACGTGCCCATTCCTCTTTGGTTGAGCCTTCTACTTTCTTGTGCCTCCTGACACCATTTGAGTAAGACGAGGTTATGATGGCTAGTCTAGCCTTGCCTAGACTAATGATCTGTCCATCAATAGCCTTTGCAAGTGCAGAAATGTCGACACGATAGATACCCCTCGGTGCCAAGGGACTAGCNCTTTGGTTGAGCCTTCTACTTTCTTGTGCCTCCTGACACCATTTGAGTAAGACGAGGTTATGATGGCTAGTCTAGCCTTGCCTAGACTAGTGATCTGTCCATCAATAGCCTTTGCAAATGCAGAAACGTCGACACGATAGATACCCCTCGGTGCCAAGGGACTAGCATGATTTAGGACCGATATACCCAAAACTGCCGAGGAATATGTGTCAATCCATGGTGGTTTGGGGATCCTTGATCCCTGTGAATAGTATCCACGGGGCAAGGGGTTAAAAAATCACGAAGACGTGTCAGTATTAGAGCAGATGTCTCCATTGACGCCGAATACACGTGTCATCATCTGAGAGTGTCTGAAAATGTCCCATCAGATAGTATAATTATATATTAATTATGATTTTTTAAGAAAAANTGGTTTGGGGATCCTTGATCCCTGTGAATAGTATCCTCGGGGCAAGGGGTTAAAAAATCACGAAGACGTGTCAGTATTAGAGCAGATGTCGCCATTGACGCCGAATACACGTGTCATCATCTGTGAGTGTCTGAAAATGTCCCATCAAATAGTATAATTATATATTAATTATGATTTTTTAAGAAAAATTTAATTTTTAATTTTATTTTAATAAATGATACAATAAAATGTGGATTTTAGTTAAAAATATTTGATATTTTATCTTTGATTGAAATATTTTTTGTCTAAGTATAATATTTTAAACTAAAATGGTATAAATATTATATGTTTATAAACTTCAAGGAGGTCTAAGTGTAATTTATTAACAAATATATTTTCAATAGAAGTTTAAGTGTTACGTGCGTATAATTCTTAGGGGGTTTGTATGTAATGTTTTAAATGTCAAGAGGTCNATATGTTTATAAACTTCAAGGAGGTCTAAGTGTAATTTATTAACAAATATATTTTCAGTAGAAGTTTAAGTGTTACGTGCGTATAATTCTTAGGGGGTTTGTATGTAATGTTTAAATGTCAAGAGATGNGTAATTTATTAACAAATATATTTTCAATAGAAGTTTAAGTGTTACGTGCGTATAATTCTTAGGGGGTTTGTATGTAATGTTTTAAATGTCAAGAGGTCTTAGTGATTAAATGACAAATTTCATGATGTTTGTTTGTAATTCTCCCTTTTTTATTTTTAAAAATAATTTTTGAAATAAAAGTTATTTAACCAATGAAAACTGATAACAAAATAGATAAATTTATAGAACAAATTAAAATTATTTTGTGTTTTTTCAAATTTTTTTTTTTAAAATTTAGAAAATACAACTACTACCACCACCACACTCCCACCGCCAACACCACTACCACCACCATATTTAAATATTATTTTTTAAAACGTAAATTAAATAAAACCTTCATTTTCGTCTCCATATAAATGTAATGTGATTTCTTGTAGATAATTATGTATTAGCGTGGGAGCACCGAAAAAAGAAGAAACCTAGCCTAACCATGCGGTGGGTGCTATGTGTTCTCATCAGCACCAAGCAATGATTCGAGCACGAGGGAGGAAAAGATGACATTTATTGGCGTGCTCCACTGTATAATACCCCACTTCTACGACTTTTCAAACCTTATCCTAAATTTTACCCGACTTCTACGACTTTTCAAACCTTATNCACGAGGGAGGAAAAGATGACATTTATTGGCGTGCCCCACTGTATAATACCCCACTTCTACGACTTTTCAAACCTTATCCTAAATTTTACCCGACTTCTACGACTTTTCAAACCTTATATTTAAAAAATATTATTTTTAAAAATAATATTATATTACATTAATATTATCAATGAAATAGTTTAACAATAAATAAATAAACATAATAAATCTACCTTTTTTATATGAATAATTATTAATTTACATAAATTTGATAATTATTTTTTTGAAGTTTACTTGCATACGTAGTGGCTTAGGGTTATATCACATTGTAATGCTGACGACGTCGTGTCTTAGGCTCGTATGCAATAATTTTTGTTAAAAGTGGGGCAAAGTAAAGAAAGTCGCGGGGGCGCGTAAATAGAAGAAAAGAAAATTTTCAGTTACGNTTTGAAGTTTACTTGCATACGTAGTGGCTTAGGGTTATATCACATTGTAATGCTGACGACGTCGTGTCTTAGGCTCGTATGCAATAATTTTTGCTAAAAGTAGGGCAAAGTAAAGAAAGTCGCGGGGGCGCGTAAATAGAAAAAAAGAAAATTTTCAGTTACACTCCTTTTAATTTATCATAATTTTATTAAATTGTGTATGATATATTTGAAAAAAAATTCACCCATACTCTATTTAAAATTTGGGCAATTAAAATTCGATTTGAGTTAGACTCAAATTGAATTCTAATAGGCTCTAATTTTGATACATAAAAAATATAAATTTTAATACATAAAATTTTTTNTATTAAATTGTGTATGATATATTTGAAAAAAAATTCACCCATACTCTATTTAAAATTTGGGCAATTAAAATTCGATTTGAATTAGACTCAAATTGAATTCTAATAGGCTCTAATTTTGATACATAAAAAATATAAATTTTAATACATAAAAAATAAATTTTAATGAACTTGAATAAAATTTTAATAAATAAAAAATACACATTGTAATTGATTCGAATTGAATTTTAATTTTTTCCAACAGCATAGGTTGAATTCAAATCAGCCCAAATTTTAATATGTAAAAAAAGAATTTTAATAGGTTTGAATTTTAATACATAAAAAAATAAATTTTAATCAACTCAAATTTTAATATATAAAAAAATAAATTTTAATCTACTTAAATTTTAATTAAATTTTATGTAAAAAAATTATTTGAGGTTTATGTAAGAATAATTTTAATATTTTAGATGCACTTTTTTTTTATTAGAAACGTTATTTATCGGTACGGGTGTTATTNAAATTATTTGAGGTTTATGTAAGAATAATTTTAATATTTTAGATGCACTTTTTTTTTTATTAGAAACGTTTATTTATCGGTACGGGTGTTATCNAATTATTTGAGGTTTATGTAAGAATAATTTTAATATTTTAGATGCACTTTTTTTTTATTAGAAACGTTATTTATCGGTACGGGTGTTATCGTTGTTTAAAGATAAATTAAAAGAGGTGTCAATGATATTTTAAATAACGAAAGGGGGTGTGAATAATAATTACCTCAGAAGAAAAGTAAACTGAATGGCGGTATGTTCAGCACCTTCCTCCTCATCTCATCAATGATCACTTCTCTCTTACCATTTATCTAAGGCCTATATATATATACACACATGTAGACAGATAGAGACTTTGCAGCGACTCTCTCACCAGTGAGATCAGAGAGAGCTCCAAAGAAGAAGAAGAAGGCCAATTACGCTCACAAAAACTAGTGGATATGAAGAAGGGGACCTTAGGTCCTAAACTCAAGCTCTCTCTCCCTCCTCCTGATGAAGTTTCTATTTCTAAATTCCTGTAATCATTTCTCTATTTCTCTTTATTTCTATTTATTTCTTTCTCTCTCTATGTATGTATAACCATATGTGTACATGCCGACANTCTTGTTTCTATCGACATTTGACACTGTATTATCTATTTGGAGGATCAGTTTTGATATAATCTCCAACATCCAGGTTATTCAAATGAATATCGATGATTCTGCTCGCAAACAGATTGCACAAGAACTCAAAATTAACCAGTCAGCTCAATGTCCATATGTTGTCGTGTGCTACCAGTCATTCTATGATAATGGTGCCATTTCTATTATCTTGGAGTACATGGATGGCGGTTCTCTAGCAGATTTTTTAAAACAGGTCAAAACAATTCCAGAACCGTATCTTGCTGCCATATGTAAGCAGGTGGGAATTACAAATCCATGTTTCAGAGAAGGAAATGGATATCGTATTGTGAATTAATACCAAGTTCTACACAATTTCTTTTGTGATNTCTCTCTCTCTCTCTCTCCTATCTCTAACTGTCTGTGTGTTGAATTGTTTGTAGATCTGAGTCAGGAACGTTCAAGGATGGTGATCTATTGGTCAACGGAAAAGGAGTTCGAGTTGTTTCTCAGACAGAAGTTGAAACCGTAAGAGATATTTTGTTTCCTGAAATTGAAGTGAAATGATCTGTGCTTCTTGCATTTGATCTGAAAAATATGATGTTTTTTTTTTTAATTTTCCTTCATGATGTCTAAATTTCGTAAATCAAAACTCATTAGGTATCGCTGATTTCTCGCTGTTAAAGCTGAATTAGCTAAGTTTTTTGTTAAAGAGTTCAGTTGACTGTCTTGGTTTAAGATTTAAAGATATTTGTGGTGTTTATGAGAAAGAACTTGTCAACCTACTGTGGGTAAGTTTGTCTTCGTTGCTCTGTTTAATTTTGAAATTGGAGTACAAAAACTGTGTTTCTAAACCTGCATTTAGTTTTTACAGACCTCCATTTTCGATACATGAAAATATTGCATAGATTTGTTTATACACATTAGCAGACATGGAGGTTCAGGTAAGAATAGCACCTTTTATAAAAAGGTTCTTGAATGGACCGATAACAGGGGAAAAAAGAATGTCCTTGAGATAATGGTGCTTTATTTCCACAGAAAATTGGTTGTTTATCTTGTACTTCTCCTTTTTTGGGTGCAATGTCTAAACTGAATATCGAACGAATAAGAGTAAGTCTGCTTGTGGATGCAGTTTTATCCTTCCAAACTATTACCTTAAGGAGTCTTATCCTTCCACNTTGTTTATCTTGTACTTCTCCTTTTTTGGGTGCAATGTCTAAACTGAATATCGAACGTATAAGAGTAAGTTTGCTTGTGGATGCAGTTTTATCCTTCCAAACTATTACCTTAAGGAGTCTTATCCTTCCAAATTAGGATGCAGTTTCTATACATTCCGAGCACATTCAGCTATAAAAATGTCTTATATGTTTTGTTCATTTTCCAAATTTTTCCTTTTTTTTTCAGCAATCCCTTATACAGCCTACGGATAATCAGCTAAGCTTAGCCGATTTTGACGCCATTAAAGTCATTGGAAAGGGAAATGGTGGAATTGTGCGACTGGTGCAGCACAAATGGACTGGGCAGTTCTTCGCTTTGAAGGTACCATACAACCTCCAGTTTTCTATTGGAAAAAAAAAAGAAGAAGAAAAATCAAGGATCTATTCTTTCTGTTGGCATTTACTGCCTTAAACATAGATCTATGGTTGCACAATTCTATCCTAGTCTCCTTGTTCTACTGATGGTGATTGGCACAGCCTCCACATTTCAATATGTTATATGTCGGTTGCCAACTCAATTATATGACTCTTTTTGCTCCTCGTTTCTAGAGGAATCAGTGAGATCTTCTTGGAGTCCTATATAACTTTCCTTGTTTCACTTAAATGATAAGACAACCCACCACCTTGTATGACTGTTGTTTGTCTATTGATAGAAAGGGTTATGGTGCTCATATCCTTTAGCGTAGTGAATGACATTGGTTGGAAGAGCATGAACTGCTACACTTGGTCTCCATATTTGTTGATGCACATCCATGACATGTTTATTCGTCACAGTGGGCCTATATGTAGGCAAGAATATGGTTACTTTCAAATAGATCAACCAGTGTTACTCTCTGGCCTGGTTTGCCAACCTCCTTTTGGACTGCATTGAAAGCTAAAGTACTCTCATGTCGTCAAATTTAGATCTAGCTTTAGTGCGTTTTTCTTGGCAATAAAATAGCCATATATTTACCCATATGCGCATATTATCTCATTTCCTTCTTGTTTCTATCGACATTTGACACTGTATTATCTATTTGGAGGATCAGTTTTGATATAATCTCCAACATCCAGGTTATTCAAATGAATATCGATGATTCTGCTCGCAAACAGATTGCACAAGAACTCAAAATTAACCAGTCAGCTCAATGTCCATATGTTGTCGTGTGCTACCAGTCATTCTATGATAATGGTGCCATTTCTATTATCTTGGAGTACATGGATGGCGGTTCTCTAGCAGATTTTTTGAAACAGGTCAAAACAATTCCAGAACCGTATCTTGCTGCCATATGTAAGCAGGTGGGAATTACAAATCCATGTTTCAGTGAAGGAAATGGATATCGTATTGTGAATTAATACCAAGTTCTACACAATTTCTTTTGTGATTTCCTTTTTGCCTTTTCATTTTACTACAGGTGCTCAAGGGTTTATGGTATCTTCATCATGAAAAACATATCATACACAGGGACTTAAAGCCTTCTAATTTATTAATAAATCATAGAGGTGAAGTCAAAATCACTGATTTTGGCGTGAGTGCAATAATGGAGAACACTTCTGGACTGGCTAATACATTTGTTGGGACATACAACTATATGTCTGTGAGTAATTTATGTATATAGGCAAACAATAGTAATTTAAATTCATATTGTTTATCAGTGTTTTAATATGTTCATTAATTTAGAGTAAAACATATTGCACCTGTATTTGTTTCTTACGAGTCACTTTTGTTCAATGGTGTGATATAGCCAGAGAGAATCAGTGGAACCAGATATGGCTACAGAAGTGACCTTTGGAGCTTGGGGTTAGTTCTGCTTGAATGTGCCACTGGTCATTTTCCATATTCCCCACCACAGCAGGAAGGATGGATTAATGTTTATGAGCTTATGGAAACTATTGTTGACGAACCCTCGCCTAGTGCACCTTCCGAACAATTTTCACCGGAGTTCCGCTCATTTATCTCTGCATGGTAAAGCTAACACATTTATAATTCAGTTAGATTGGTTTTTAATGAACCAGACACTTGCAGTAACTATGTGCACTTCACCTTGTAAGATTTATTAATGAGACTCCACTCTATACAATTGGAATGATGGTCGCATTGAGATGTCATTAAACTTGTACAGTTTTTTTTTAATCTCTATAAGGCTTTCATGGTCAGTCTGTTGTTATGGTGGTTAAATAGTTCCCATTTTTATGTTTTCTGCCATAAATTACGTTATTAATGTATTTGAAATAACTGCAGACGAGTTGGCTATGATTTTCATTTAATTCTTTCAGCTCTGCACCTTTCTAAATGCTCATGAAGTAATATTTATTGCCAGTTTCTTGCTTTCCATTTTTTTGATCTCGCAAGCTCAATTGATGTTTATTTCAGCGTGCAGAAAGACCCAAAGGAGAGATTGTCGGCAAATGAACTAATGGTAGATATACAATCATTTGTGTTGTATTTGTCAACAGTTTTTATATATTAGTTCAGCTTCATGCTAACTAACTAATTGTTTCCTCCATGAAATACAGACACATCCTTTTATCAGTATGTTCGATGACTTGGATATTGATCTCGCATCTTACTTCACAGATGCAGGATCTCCACTAGCAACATTGTGAAACTTATTTGGTAGGTCAAAGCATGATTCTTTCCTTTAACTTTTTTTTCTCTCCCCCTTGATTCATTTCCTTTCTTACAAGCCTATGAATTCCACCCTAGATTCCAAAGTTTTATCCTTGTGTGTATGTTCTTTCTACTTTCCATGATTCGTTAGAAATTACTACTTCCTGCGTTGTTGGAATTGCCTGCACTGATAACATCGCAGTCACCCCCCCCCCCTCCCATCCTTTGTTCAACAGGACCGTCGCTACCAAGCTTGCATGAACTTTTGGATGTTTTTGTGGCCTTGTGATTTGGCATAGCAGTCCATCTCAAGTGCTTTTTATTTTCTCTTTTTTTTTTTTTTGGGGGGGGGGTTGCTTATAGGAATTCTGTTTTCTGTTGGTGAATCGAAGAAAAAATTGTAGTTTTCCAATGACAAATTACTGAACTAGCATGCCTGGCGCAAGCAACTTCTTAAAAGATTTGTCATCCCTTTGGCCATGATTTTGGAAGTTTCTAAGCCGATTATTGAATTCTGCTTGGTTATTCAACTCATTACACCCCCACGAATACTTTAAAACCTCATTCAAAGAAACTAATGAATTAGTGAATGAGTTGAAGTGGTGAACTAGATGTTATGTTGCACAACTATGTTTGTCAGATGTTTTTGCTGCGTAATTGATGTGTGTGTGGGTGTATCCTACAATTCTGATCTTTACAATTTTTGATCATCGACATTATCATCTTTTTATAGCTTTTTCTTGCAGGTGTATACCACTGTTCTATGCTTAGGTTAGGAATCAGCTATTGCTTGTGAAGAGACAAATTTCTGCTGCGAGAACTATGACGGGGACCCATAACTTTTTACTTCCCTCAAGGGTCATACTTGCCAAAAAAGATCATAAAGCTCTCTTAGGAATCAAGGAAGCCTGTTCCAAAAGCATTTTAATTATTTCTAGCAGCAATGGTTCCCGCTGCAATGGGAGGATACCGTGGAATGTTGCTAAGCTAGAAGATTTGGAGTGTGAACGACTATTCCGGAAATCAGTTTACTGATATCACGGTTTGCATTTTCCTTTGACATTTGAAGAGAATAAAGTTTTAATAACTTCCTTTTGGCATGAGGAAGGTGAAGAGCTTGTGTTGAGTTGCCCTGCAGAAATTTGTTTATTTTTTCCCTTTTATATGTAAGATGGCGATCAGTTTCTGTTTGTGTTACCCTCTTAGACATTTTGCTTTTGGTTCTGGTTATGTTTCCGGACTCGTATGCATGTAAAGCATTCCAAACAATCGTTGATCTTATGGGTCTTTTTTATGATGAAAAAGTGAAAGGACAAAACAAGTACTAAATGGAGAATGGGAGACTGTATAAACTATTATATCTGATTTAAAAGAAAATAGTTATTCGTCGTACAAAACACAAGAAGAAAGAGTGGACCTTTCTTATTTTTGTCTTTGTACTTTTCCATCCATCTTATCAAAATGACCATTAATTCTAATAATTGATCCAAAGTCCAAGCGACAGAAAATGCTGGTAGCCATGGGGAACATTGCAGAAAATTCTTTCGGGTCTTGAGGGGGTGGGTAATACGGTTAGTTGACGTTAGGTGGTGGACTTCACCGTTTACTTTTGGTCAGAAGTCACAAGATAATGTTGGGTCTGCTAGCATTTGTCAAAAAAATAATTTTAATATGTTAAAAAATAAATTTTAATCGGCTCCAATTTTAATTGAATTTTATATAGAAAGATTATTTGAAAGTTATGTAGGGATAATTTTGGTATTTTAAGTAATTTATCTTTGTTATAAATGATAGTTTAATGGCAAGAGGTGTGAGTGGTGTTTAAATATAAAATAAAAGAAGTGTTAGTAATATTTTTGATAATAGAGGGAGTGTCCTTAAAGATATGATAAATTAAAAAGAGTATGACTAAAATTTTTCCTAAATTAAATGGTCTTTAACGTTGATTAAATTGTTTTAAGTTATAAAAAATAATAAAGTACAAAAACTTTACATTTTATGCGTTTTTATTGTATAAAAAGTGAAAATACCGTACTAAAAGTGATACTTTGGTACCCAACTCCGAACAACCAGCCCCTACGTTTTGTCGCTGCGATTACGCCATGAATCTCACCTCCGGCCTGTGCCGGCGAGCATTCGGGATAAGAGAGTCGATATGCTGCCCAAAACATATCCCAAATTCTGTATCTCAAATGCTTTTACACCACACATCAGATGAAAAGGCTGACTTTTTGGACCCACAACAAAATATGTGTGGTGCAGAAGCAATTGAGATGGAGAATTTAGAATCTGTTTTGAACAGCTTATCATTTCTCTTTACGATTTTTGATTCACAGCCATTCTTCTTGTGCAGTTAAGCCTGCCTGAGAAACAAAAAAGGGATTATTAACTATATGGACTGTATCAATTTTTTTACATCAGATTTCTAAAATATATAAGAAAACAAAAGTGTTTCCCTCAATTGTTCAATAACCTCTCTTAGTGTGTATTTTAGGATCTCCAGACGAAGAGGAAGATTGGTGCAGAACATGACGCCAATGGTCTCCACTACTTCAATCCTACTTGGGCACTTCNTTCCAAACAATCGTTGATCTTATGGGTCTTTTTTATGATGAAAAAGTGAAAGGACAAAACAAGTACTAAATGGAGAATGGGAGACTGTATAAACTATTATATCTGATTTAAAAGAAAATAGTTATTCGTCGTACAAAACACAAGAAGAAAGAGTGGACCTTTCTTATTTTTGTCTTTGTACTTTTCCATCCATCTTATCAAAATGACCATTAATTCTTATAATTGATCCAAAGTCCAAGCGACAGAAAATGCTGGTAGCCATGGGGAACATTGCAGAAAATTCTTTCGGGTCTTGAGGGGGTGGGTAATACGATTAGTTGACGTTAGGTGGTGGACTTCACCGTTTACTTTTGGTCAGAAGTCACAAGATAATGTTGGGTCTGCTAGTATTTGTCAAAAAAATAATTTTAATATGTTAAAAAATAAATTTTAATCGGCTCCAATTTTAATTGAATTTTATGTAGAAAAATTATTTGAAAGTTATGTAGGGATAATTTTAGTATTTTAAGTAATTTATCTTTGTTATAAATGATAGTTTAATGACAAGAGGTGTGAGTGGTGTTTAAATATAAAATAGAAGAAGTGTTAGTAATATTTTTGATAATAGAGGGAGTGTCGNCAACATTCCACAAACCGTTGCTGGCTATAATAAGGAGCTTATCTTCTTTTGATCGAGGAACAAACATCATTTCTGTATCCAGAATAACATAAAGTCTCAAATATTGATCACCTGTGGTCCAAACACAAAATCAATTGTTATCTAGAGTGGGGAGGAATGATTATAGTTGAATTGAACTGATAATACGTAAATACTGACAATTGTTTCAGAGCAGTGAGAATACAGGGCTTAATTATTCTACAACTAATATAATACCTCACATGAGAAGCAAGATAAACAGAATTTTAACATATTTGTGTTTCAAACAAAGACACCCTTTTGCAAGGTTAGCACTATTAGTACCAAAAATTAACTTTTTGATACCATATACCTATTGTTTTTGTTCAATGAAAGCATGATGCTCATAAAGCCTCTTCATTTTGTTGTTTCAATTTATTTTATTGTTTCTCCAATCAACCGCTACACCTAACTAAACCAAAATCCATGCTTCAAAATTGTTTTTCAGCATGATACTGAAAAGTTAAACTTGCCAAATGATTTCTGTATTATAGGATCTCATTTCAAGTAAAGAGAGGTGAAAACAGACAAATGGACCTTGACATTGCACGTGCGCCTGAAAACCAAAATCCGTCCCAATTAATGAGCTTGCTTCCTGCAGCTTCTATCCTTGCAAGTTCANTAAAGAGAGGTGAAAACAGACAAATGGACCTTGACATTGCACGTGCGCCTGAAAACCGAAATCCGTCCCAATTAATGAGCTTGCTTCCTGCAGCTTCTATCCTTGCAAGTTCCTGTTCTGTATTTGTTTGAAAATACAGTAAAAGGTCAATGGAGATCCATACTTTTCAAGAAACAAGTTTCAATTACAGATGAGTAAAGGAAAAGGGTAATTACTAGCAAAAACTACAACATGAGGCCCCTACTTTATGGTCCACCGACAAAGGCATGGCTGCCTTCTCACGAGCACCACTATTCACAACAATGATATGAGTTTCTTCACCACAAAAGCAAGCAGTATCTTAGTATTGAATAGACTGGAGGTGCCATGTTTTGGAATCTTAGGATTGCTTGTGATACCANTTGATCACCTGTGGTCCAAACACAAAATCAATTGTTATCTAGAGTGGGGAGGAATGATTATAGTTGAATTGAACTGATAATACGTAAATACTGACAATTGTTTCAGAGCAGTGAGAATACAGGGCTTAATTATTCTACAACTAATATAATACCTCACATGAGAAGCAAGATAAACAGAATTTTAACATATTTGTGTTTCAAACAAAGACACCCTTTTGCAAGGTTAGCACTATTAGTACCAAAAATTAACTTTTTGATACCATATACCTATTGTTTTTGTTCAATGAAAGCATGATGCTCATAAAGCCTCTTCATTTTGTTGTTTCAATTTATTTTATTGTTTCTCCAATCAACCGCTACACCTAACTAAACCAAAATCCATGCTTCAAAATTGTTTTTCAGCATGATACTGAAAAGTTAAACTTGCCAAATGATTTCTGTATTATAGGATCTCATTTCAAGTAAAGAGAGGTGAAAACAGACAAATGGACCTTGACATTGCACGTGCGCCTGAAAACCGAAATCCGTCCCAATTAATGAGCTTGCTTCCTGCAGCTTCTATCCTTGCAAGTTCCTGTTCTGTATTTGTTTGAAAATACAGTAAAAGGTCAATGGAGATCCATACTTTTCAAGAAACAAGTTTCAATTACAGATGAGTAAAGGAAAAGGGTAATTACTAGCAAAAACTACAACATGAGGCCCCTACTTTATGGTCCACCGACAAAGGCATGGCTGCCTTCTCACGAGCACCACTATTCACAACAATGATATGAGTTTCTTCACCACAAAAGCAAGCAGTATCTTAGTATTGAATAGACTGGAGGTGCCATGTTTTGGAATCTTAGGATTGCTTGTGATACCACTTATTCGATTTCATTCGCACACGAAACTTTGCAGTAAGTGGTATTTCATTCGCATTGAAACTTCACAATCTATGGTCCAGTAATATGTGAATTGTGTGACCAAAAAAAAATAAAAAATCTGTGAATAGCGAATCGTAGCTCTAATGTTTAGTTCCTGTTTTGGTGAATTGTAGCATATTCTGTGGACTCGGCCCATAAATGTCACCATATTCTCAGACTCTAAAGTAGACAATGCAAAAGGCATCAAACAGCAATCCTCACTAAATAAGCTGCAAAGGAGAAATAGAGTAACAATTACTCCCAGAGGCACTACAATAAAAGACAGTAGTTGATTAGTAGGCACTACAATAACTGTATGTTTTGATTACAATCAACCAATGCAACTAGATCAGAACCTAAATAGTATTTGGCTCAAATAAAATGTGAAGCAGCTAAACGGCGAGTGGCAATAGACAACATTTCCTTCCAATTGTCGCGGAAAAGTGTCTTGGTCAGAGACAATCAAAACACTTTCAAAAGCAATGTACACGAATCAAACCAAGGAAGCAAATCAAACCAAGGATGTTCGTATTTAAATCATGGAAATAACAATNCGGAAAAGTGTCTTGGTCAGAGACAATCAAAACACTTTCAAAAGCAATGTACACGAAGCCCAGAGGCGAATGTTATGATATGAAAATCCACAAACAAGCAAATCAAACCAAGGATGTTCGTATTTAAATCATGGAAATAACAACGGAATTAGCAAAAAGAAATGAAAATAACAAAGGATAGAAAACTCAGTCCCAAAAACTATGGATCTTCTAGATGCAAACACCAAAAGAAAAATATTGTAACAGAACCGCTCAAGTCCAAATAAGCCAAACCTGCAGACTCACAGCCGTCCCCACAGTGCAATAGCGCCAAAATAATCTGCAAATAGCAAGTTTGTGATAATAGAGATCCTGCGAGGTTGAAGGAACGTCCTACAAAACTTAAAAGAAAAAGCATTTTAACATATCAATGTAGCCAAAAGAAGAATAGTGACTCCAATTGTGGATTAAATTTTTTTTTTTGGGGGTCCAGAGGTTTGTCATTCAAGATAGTTGGCCACGTCTACTTAGACCACTTAACCAATCTACATTCAAGGAAATCAAACTCGAAAATTTTCAGATTTAACAGTGCCCCAGAAGACTTCTGTAAATCAGACTTACAGCATTAAACACCGACACTTTTAGAGGAATGCAAAACAAAACTTCAAATCAAAGGATGTCATATATATGGCTAGGTCAGGAATTAAAGCCAGAGATTCAAAAGCATACCGCTGGTAAAGGAAATAATGCAAGTTGCTGGTCTTTGGAAGATGACATCCCAGCATATCACCAGGTAAGGATAAACCTAGTCAAATGATTTAATGACAACAGCTACTCCGTGCTGCCCATTTTACCTGTCATTAATCACAAAGTCATTAAAAGAGAGTATTATCCAACAGCTAGGATCTATTTAAGAAGCACGTGACCGTCCAAGAAGGAACGGAGCTCAGATATCAACAGGAAAATAATATACCAAGATCAACAAGGATGGTCAAGGAAAATCTCACAGCAGCTGGCCTGGCATATAATAACCAGCCTGAGAAACTTCTACTACAATGTACTTGAAGAAACCAACAGCAAGAAAGATCAAGATCAAAAGGTCACACCCTAAAATCTTCAGGTTTATCTGTTTGGCCAATACTTGGCTCAGGATTCAGCTCATATTTGTTTTTACAAGATCTTACCATCTACCCTCGAGAAATAAACATCATTCGGACAACTATCATTGAGAGATTTCTGCATGATATAAAACCCAAACTGTCATCATCAGCTGCAGCTGCAGCAAATGATAGAAAGAAAAGTTGCAAGAATTATAACCTGGATAGGTTAAAGAAAAAGAAAACACACATACATATTAGAACACTTGCTGCTAATAACTGTGATTAAAAAGCTGACTTTATTTGAAATATAAAATTTATGTACAGGAGTCTTCTCTGACTTGTATTTGTTACAAACAGAATACAATGTTTGCTACAATATAATGACTAGGACACTCAAGCTTGTACGTTGAACAAAAAGACCTTTACAGCCAAAGTCACCAGCTTAAAAAGTAGCAAAATTGAAAACATCCGAAGGGTTCAATCAAAATCGACTTGTCCAGGATTATCCGAAAGAATCTGTAGCCTAATTATGGAGTGCAGTCACATGACCATCCATGTAACTGGTCATTTCCTGACAGTAATTTTTCTTCTGTAAATAGTATATTGAACAGGAATATACAACATAAGCACCCTCAAACCATCATTTTTAAGTCAGACAGATCATCCATTGGAATTTCAAGGCCCATAAAGTCATGATCTTGTAATCCATCTTCTTCAAAGTTCAACCATGAACCGAGATCCTGTCCTTGATCACCAAGATCATCAGGAACACCTAGAACATCCATTTCGGGGATTTGTAGGTTGGATAAATCAATGGGGTCTTCCAATCCATCAAAGTTAAAATCATCCTTATCCTTGGCCATGCCACGTGCACTCGTTTCACTAGATTTTTTCATCGAAGTCATTGTTGTTTTGGGTTGCTCTGATACTTTGCCAAGAAGACCATTGACAGAAGCAGATAATTGGGTTGTTTTCTGCTTAGGCTTTGTTTTAGACTTCCTTTCTCCCTTCACATAGCCTGATGCAGGCCTTCCAATTTTAGTGGTTCCATTCCTGGATAACACCTCTCTGCTGTTCCCCTTTCCTTCTCTGTCCCTCTCGCTCCTTTTTCCTTTTGCACTGCTTGAAAGTGAACTTCTGATGCCCGAAGGAGCACCTGACAATGTGCTAATTGTACCACCAACATCATCAAGCAACAATTCCTTCTTTTTCTTAGTTGACCATGCATCTTCTTTGCCAGGAGCATGGTCAGAAGAGAGATTTTCTGACAGGAGCACAGCAGAAGAGTAAACTTCATGGTTGTTTAAAGATGGGCTTTGCTGTGCTCCCAGGGATGCTGCAGAAGACACAAAGTCACAATCCAGAACTGAGATTTCTACAAGACCACGGAAAAATACCATTAAACTAAAAGCCAATATTATAAACCTATATCCAAGTTAAAATGATAACGATGGCATACAGTCGCACATGTATGATGGAATATATAGCAAATTCCAGAAAATGATATTTAATGAATGAGTAATGCTATTTGGACCTAAAAATCTGACCTAATTTGCTGACATAATGATGTGGTTTCAGTGGAACCATTGGATCAACACCAAATTTCAATGTTTTATGGAATCACAATCAATTCAAAGGTCATAGTAAATCAGGTCAGCAAATTAGGTCAGTAAATTAAGTTTCAATTGCATTGCTCTTAATGAATTACCTGAAGTTCTAACTTCCATAGAACAGCCAGATGTGTTAACTTTGCCAGATTCACCATCAGTAATAGCATCTGCTGCTTGTGCTTCATTATGAAGTGAAGATCCAGAAAGGAACATGTCCCTGAAAAAGGGATCACGGAAGCAGCTCTTGCCTGTCTCCTCAAATTCATGGCATCGCTCCAACGTCCGCTTAACAAAAGCTAAGGCAGCTTGCTTGGCCATTTTGCTACTCGTACTCTTTCCCCCAGAGGCATTAGGACCCCAACAACTCTGCCGAAACAAAGATTATATCAGTTTGACCCCCGTATATTTCAATCATCAGAAATAATGGTTCAGCAGCATTGTTAGTATGGCATCCCTTTGTACAATGGCCAGTAGCTGCAATGGATTTCCTATTAAAAATAAAATAATTGATTGTAACCAAAATGAGTAAGATCATAAGCAGAATTACAATGGCCAGTACCACTTAGAATTACAAACATTGATCACCAAGATCATAAGCAGGAAGTGCCTGCATGAATGCAAGCAATCAAAAAGAGGTTTGATTTCAATTTTTAAGGGCGTTATTTTATCGAATACTGGTACTTGATTAAAATTTTCAGCAATTTTTGTTTGCATAGGACTATTAAGGTGAAAACTGAAAAGACAGAATGTATTCTGACGAAATGCTATTGATTTTAGGAGGACTAAGGAGGAGGACGACAGGCCCACTCATGAAAATCATTTTGTAATTTTTTGCTAACAGTGACATATCATTTCATATCTTTATCAAACTCTTAAGTTGCTGAACTACTTGCAAATTTCCCTTCTTAGGGCAGTAGCGCACACGTGGAAGTTATGTGGTTTTGTAATTTGCAATGGAGAACATCACCATATTCCTGGAAAAAAGTTTTGTGGTCATACTATATATCTAAAGAAAGCAATCTCTTTTAGAAAGAATCATATTGAAGTTTTTGACTATATTGTATAAAACTTTCTCTAATATTTTATCCAAATATGATATGAAACCTTGACTTATGGCACAAGTTCTACTGCCGTTTTCTATTGCTCACAACAGCCGTAGACGACTTGTACAATAGACAAGAGTAAAATGAGGATGTTGATATAAAGGAGTGGCAATTGAAGCCCGAAAAATTGAGTGAAATTCTAGAGGGCAAAAGGTTGATCAACTGATGATAAGATTAAAGTTAACCAACATAGTTGGTCATGTGTTAAAAAATCCTTTGATTGAAGAGGAAGGTATGACGAGGGTAGACCATGAAGAATGCGAGTTGACGCAGTGAGCAAAAAGACTTGATTGATTACGAGATTATGCTCCAAACATGTAAATTGAGATATGTACAAAAAAGATTATGCCAACTCCATACGATTGGATTTCAGCACAATCCAGAGCCGAGTTGAGTGGAGTTAGGTATTCCCTAAAATGTGGAGATTTAGTTGAAAACGCATAGCGAAAGCCAATTTTTGGAATAATTTCACTAATGCGTCAAACAGATGTTTACTTTATTGCAGGTAGATTATGAACACGAGAAGAAATGGGTGAAATAATGACCGAGAAAGACGTCTATTCAGGTACAATTATATGCACCTGACACTACATACTTATCAATTAAAAAAATACTATAAATATATTTAGAGGGCATTAATGCTGTATTAAATTAGGGGTATTCAGCGGTACACTTTGGCATAAAATANACACTACATACTTATCAATTAAAAAAATACTATAAATATATTTAGAGGGCATTAATGTTGTATTAAATTAGGGGTATTCAGCGGTACACTTTGGCATAAAATAATTTTCAGATGAAGTTTTTTATATCCTGTATTGGTTGTCAAATATCATTTTTTTGCCGTACATCAGAAAATTTTGTGCATTGAACTTAGTCAAAACAAGAAATTTGTTCATGCACTAGCAAAGACATGATATCCACAAAAGTATTCTAATCCCTCAAATGCAACACAACATTATGCATTCAAATCTTAAAAACAACAAAACAAAGTGAAACGGCATGGGCATTGAACAACAGGTGAACAGAATTACCATATACTTCTCATAACCCATTGCTACAAGTTTCTCCAAGGCACGCAGTTCAAACTCCCTATAAACCAATAAAATGTTTGTATTAGGTTCATGATACACAGATGACCAAGTAAAATCATGTGATTAATGATGCATCCAAAGGGAAATGACAAATCCTTACTTTTCTTGAACCTCTCTTGTTTCAGAAGCATATTTCAATAGTTTTCCAAGCAAGCCTTTCTTCTTGGAAACCTATAATATCAACAAAACAATGAGACAAGGCTTCTGCGGAAATAGAGATACCCTATTGCAAGATAGTTTGCTGGAAATCAATTTGATTTTCATAAGATATCCAAATTACAAAATTTGGTTTCAATTCCTGGTCTAGATCTACTTTGGCATGCCTACAACTTAGTAAGAATGAGCAGGAGAAACAAATCATCAGGCTCATGGTTTCGTTTTGCTATAATGGTTCATCTGGGAGAGCAATTGAGCTAGGGCTAACATCAACGAGAAGGTTGGGTACATTGATGTCAGCCCTTGGCCACCAGGAACTACAATATATTCCAAGGTTTGGGCTGTTTTGATTGATTTAATCATTCTTTTTTTACATCCAGAAGAAGAAAACATAACCAGATGAAATGAAAGTTGGACCGATGTAACACGAGAAAGATTTTCTATTCCTTACCCTGAAAGATAAGTGGCCATGAAAGAGGGACATTTATTTACACACACACATATATGCACACAGAAAACAAGATGGAGACAGATGACAGGTATTATATGATCTCTGGGTGGTTTTACAAGAATTCAGGAAGCCAATCCTAGATTGTTCAACGTCGATAGTGTTTGAGTGTGGGGAAAGAGTCAAAAGGGTTCGAGTGCGGGGGATAAAAGGTTCTTCCGGCATCAACTTTTGACCAATAAATAGATTGAGATGCACTTCGACAATGACTTATCTGCCAGTTCAAAAAAAAACAATAACTTATCTGGGTACAAAATGTGCACTGACAGAATTGGGCTCCAGANCTAGATTGTTCAACGTCGATAGTGTTTGAGTGTGGGGAAAGAGTCAAAAGGGTTCGAATGCGGGGGATAAAAGGTTCTTCCGGCATCAACTTTTGACCAATAAATAGATTGAGATGCACTTCGACAATGACTTTTCTGCCAGTTCAAAAAAAAACAATAACTTATCTGGGTACAAAATGTGCACTGACAGAATTGGGCTCCAGAGCAGAGGGTTGGCCGGGTGGGGGACGACGACATGAGTTAAAATAAATGGATTTTACCTGTTCTTGATACTTTTCTTCTAGTCTGCTGATATCTCTATTGATTTCTTCGTCCCCGGTCTGTGGTAAATCAGGCTGACCAGAAGGAAAAAGCAATCAAAAGAATATATTATCCTTGTACAAACTCCCACACAAATGAAAATCAAGTAAATCCCCTCTTCTCTATCTCCAAATACAAAAAAATTCCCACGCCATCACTCTCTCTTTGATGTGGAAATGAAGAACTGTCATATGAATGAGCAAAAGAGGAAGCCCATTTAATATCAGAGCTCCTATAAAAGAGAACCTACCACTGGCTCCAGGTGCAGTCCAACACTCTGAACCTCGAGAATAGTTCTTTCATTCAAGGACATGTTGGCGTACTGATACTCAGAACAGGCTATGCCAGGCATCATTGCTCGTTCTAGGAGTAAGCCATTTTTGGAATGATTGAAGTTTGATATGATTGTCGTGTCTTGAATGTCTTCTGGCATATCGTGCTCCAGCTCATGAAATGACTTCCCGTTAATATTTGTCCAGTAACCATTAGCAGCAGCACATCCAGCAAGTTCACGGCCTCTTACCATCTGCTGATTGAAAGCATCGGATTCCATATCTATATCCAGCTCAAATGCAGACCCATAAGTATCAAATTTGAGATCTTCATTTCCACTGCAAAGCTCATCATTTCCTTCTTCAGGAATTAGTGCAGCAATGAGCCTTTGGTAAAGGGGAATCTCATTAAGAGGAACCCTCATTCCCAAGGCTAAATATTCGGGGCTAAGTTCAACACTTTGTGTTTCAGTTGCATCTCTCCCAGCATCAACCAAACCAAAAACATTAGAAACTTGACCGGAACTATCTACATCAAAAGGTACTAGTGCTGGTGTTGTTGCAGTGGATCCAAGATTTCCCTGCAATAAAATTAATACAATCAGGATAAGTAGAACTGAGAAAAACAGAGGATCTCCATCTTTGTCGTTTGATAAATTGTACTTCAATTTTCCATAATATGTAACCAAACCAAACCAAGCCTTATATCCCAATCATTAGGGGTCAGCTATATAAGTCCGTCTTCGCCATTCATTTCGATCATACACTATACGCTCATTTAAATTAAATATGTTCATATATTTTCTCATTATTTCATTTAATATTAATTTAAGTCTACCCTTACTTCTAATATCATTAAGAGAAATTCTATCACTTTTTCGAAACTAGTTTTTTTATCGACCTCCGTTGAACATGATCAAACCATTTTAATCTATTATCTTTTAACTTATCCTCAATTGGAACTACTCCTACCATTTTTCTAATACGGTCATTACGTATTCTATCCTCTCTAGTTTTTCCACACATCTACCTTAGAATTCTCATTTCCGCTACACTTATTTTGTCTCTATGCTGTTTCCTAATTGTCAAACATTCCGTTTCATACAACATTGTTGTCCTTATAGCTGTTCGGTAAAACTTACCTTTTAATTTTATTGGTATCTTTCTATCACATAATATGTCAGGCTTTCCTCCACTTAAGTCAACAGGCGTGGATTCTATGAGTTACAACATCTCCAATTTCTCCATTATTTTGAATGATCAATTCTAGATATCTAAATCGTTTACTAGATAATATGTAACCAATGACGAGAAATTTCACAAAATTCAATAATGCACAATCGTGTTTGTCACTTGTATCATGCCCAAAACTTAAAATGATCATCAAGTTTAAATTAGTAAGTGGAATAATGCACATACACCGGATAACAAACAAGTATGACAGAACAAAATGATGATACTTTTATACAAGGAACGCAACTGTTACTGATACTTTTATACAAGGAACGCAACTGTTACTAGTAACAGTACTGAAGGGCCTATTGCAACCTGGTGTTGGCAATGGTTTTTCATATTGGTCTCAAAACAATGATGTAGGACAATAAGAAATATTCAGCATCAATACTGTTCAGGGACTGTGGACAATATCCCGTGAACAATAAAAATGTGTTTAGGGCCTAAAGAGTATCGGGTTTCAAGTTTTGTTGAAGGACAAGGTCAGATTTGTGGATTAGAGTTGCATGGAATAGAAAGAGATTAGGACTCCAAACTACGTATATATTAGGAAACTAATATAGACTAGAACCAGGATTCTATAATTAGAAACATCCAATAATATAATTCAACCTAAAAGATGGCACTCAAGTCATACTATAACCCGTTCCAGCAAATTTGGAAATTACGAAAATAACTTTGACTCTAACCAATATAAAAACAAAAGATGTAAAATATTAATATCAGCAAACCAAATTAAAATAAAAGCAACTCAAAAATAAAACTTGAATAGACTCAAATAAAATTATGAAAGGTCCCAAATGGGTGTCTGTCTTGGTAGCAAGCCATATTCCGTCGTTTATCACTTTTTTGAAATTGTCTTTCCCTGAACAACTTATGGACTGCATCACAGAAGCTACACAAACATAAAAAATTTGAAAAAAGAAACATTGAAAACTTGAGATTAATGAACCATGTCATAAAACAGTAAAATGTATACAGACAAAATTACTCAACATAGTAAATCAGTAAATAGTAAATTACTAAAACGGCAATTTGTGAAGTGCATTGATTGTATCATACTAAATGGTACTTGGAAAATAAAGACTAATATAAGATCTAAACATCATCTGCTGCTCCCTATCCATATAGTTCTACTAAAAAACTGGAAACCCATCCATCGAGGAGATGTATTATTACTTTTGTAACAATATACATTGGAACCTTGATAAGGTTGATTACAATACCAGTAACAACAATCTTCACTCAAAATACATATGCTAAACTAACAGTATATAAAAATCGGGAGGAAAATAGGAAGAGCATTCTCCACACACAAAAGAAAAAAGACAAAAAGAAAGAAAAAAAATAGAATTGTATTTTCTGAAACAAGAAAAATAAATTCAACTTAAGTAAAGAAGATAAATAAATGAAAAGTAATAAGTCCATTCTTTCCTCTTTAACTCAATGAGAATATGTACTCAATATGAATAATATAGATATGTTTTACCCAGAGCAAACAAATAACTGAAAAATAATACTTCCATTCTTTCCTCTTAACTCAATGAGAATACGTACTTTCATAGTTATTAGTATGGTATGATATGTCACGATACACCTGAAAAATGATATNACAATGATGTAGGACAATAAGAAATATTCAGCATCAATACTGTTCAGGGACTGTGGACAATATCCCGTGAACAATAAAAATGTGTTTAGGGCCTAAAGAGTATCGGGTTTCAAGTTTTGTTGAAGGACAAGGTCAGATTTGTGGATTAGAGTTGCATGGAATAGAAAGAGATTAGGACTCCAAACTACGTATATATTAGGAAACTAATATAGACTAGAACTAGGATTCTATAATTAGAAACATCCAATAATATAATTCAACCTAAAAGATGGCACTCAAGTCATACTATAACCCGTTCCAGCAAATTTGGAAATTACGAAAATAACTTTGACTCTAACCAATATAAAAACAAAAGATGTAAAATATTAATATCAGCAAACCAAATTAAAATAAAAGCAACTCAAAAATAAAACTTGAATAGACTCAAATAAAATTATGAAAGGTCCCAAATGGGTGTCTNAGATGTAAAATATTAATATCAGCAAACCAAATTAAAATAAAAGCAACTCAAAAATAAGACTTGAATAGACTCAAATAAAATTATGAAAGGTCCCAAATGGGTGTCCGTCTTGGTAGCAAGCCATATTCCGTCGTTTATCACTTTTTTGAAATTGTCTTTCCCTGAACAACTTATGGACTGCATCACAGAAGCTACACAAACATAAAAAATTTGAAAAAAGAAACATTGAAAACTTGAGATTAATGAACCATGTCATAAAACAGTAAAATGTATACAGACAAAATTACTCAACATAGTAAATCAGTAAATAGTAAATTACTAAAACGGCAATTTGTGAAGTGCATTGATTGTATCATACTAAATGGTACTTGGAAAATAAAGACTAATATAAGATCTAAACATCATCTGCTGCTCCCTATCCATATAGTTCTACTAAAAAACTGGAAACCCATCCATCGAGGAGATGTATTATTACTTTTGTAACAATATACATTGGAACCTTGATAAGGTTGATTACAATACCAGTAACAACAATCTTCACTCAAAATACATATGCTAAACTAACAGTATATAAAAATCGGGAGGAAAATAGGAAGAGCATTCTCCACACACAAAAGAAAAAAGACAAAAAGAAAGAAAAAAAATAGAATTGTATTTTCTGAAACAAGAAAAATAAATTCAACTTAAGTAAAGAAGATAAATAAATGAAAAGTAATAAGTCCATTCTTTCCTCTTTAACTCAATGAGAATATGTACTCAATATGAATAATATAGATATGTTTTACCCAGAGCAAACAAATAACTGAAAAATAATACTTCCATTCTTTCCTCTTAACTCAATGAGAATACGTACTTTCACAGTTATTAGTATGGTATGATATGTCACGATACACCTGAAAAATGATACGTATCGTTTTTACACCGTATCGTACGATACACGATACGGTACGTCCGATACGTGACAATTCTTTTTTTTTTTTTTGGGGGGGAAGGGCTGAAATGACATCATTTTACCCTAAAACCTCTTTTTAAATCACTAACCAGTGAAACAACGTTGCTTTAGTGGTTGTAGTTTAAAAAAATAAAATAAAGTATGTTGTTAATGTTATTCAATTGAGTTCAAAATTCCTAATTAATATTAAAGTTGTTCAAGCAGTTGATGTTAGAAGTTTGAATTAGAGGTCTTTGCATTTTGATATTATTGAACTATATTGGGAACTTGAATAGTTTGTGGAATATTAATAAAATGCTATATTATTGAGTCTATATTTTTTTTTACAAAGGTATATATATAATAATTATTTAAAAATTAAATTGCACGTATCTTATGATCTACGATACGATACGATACACTATTTTAAAAAAATGATACGCCTTCCGATACGCGATTTGACAACTATGCGTACTTCATATGAATAATATGGATATGTTTTACCCAAATAAACACCAATAGACTCTGGTTACACTCTGACATATAAAGGCTATGTCACAAAAAAATCTTTCTTATGAATTGGGACACACCATCATGATTAAATTTTTCTATCATGTTATTTGCTGACTTGTCTAAAAAACCATTCAATGGAGAATGACATTACCCAACATAGGTATGCGAAAAAGGAACATATCTTACATGTATTTTAAGAAGAAAAAGGGACTTCACCTGTTGCTTTAAATAGGCTATGTCCACATCAGATATAAAACCAAAGAATGACCCCATCTGCCTCCAGAATGAGCTAGAAAAAGAAAGAGCTGCAGCAAAACTTAGATCAATTAATACAATAAAGAAGCAAGTACCTTGACAAGAAAATGACCACAAAACCTTAATAAGAATACCTGGATTAATAACAGCATTTGCAGCAGCCAATAGCTCCTCATGTCCATCATCTGAACCAACTAAAAAAATTAAAGGCAAAGATCAACAATCAAGAACTTATGATGACTAATAAATATGATTCATAAGTCTTCATTTGTATAGCTTGGGGTGCAATTACCTAGAAAATCTGCGACTGCATTGATTGTAGTGTGCTTCTGGCGTTTGTATGCCTTGCGGTCAGAGAGTTTCCGAGTGGGTGGTCGACCCATTTTGCTGAATAAAAAATGTTACAATATTTCAAGACATTTATCAGAGGCACCAAACATCATCAAGGAAACAAAATAGGAATAGAGCAATCTAACAGCCCAAATATTGGGAGGCACAGAAAGTTCAACCTTTCAGTCTTATCAAAACCAAGTCTAGCACTTCTAAGCTGTTTTGCTGTTCCCACATTGCCAAGCTTTTCAACTGTCATTGGCATGAGAGACCTAGAGGATGTAAAACCCCTCCCAGTCCTCCCTTGCCTCCGAACACCATCTCTAAGGTCATCCCCATTAAGCACCTTATTCTTCCTTGGTGGCAGAATCAAGGATGATACCTTTTGAATGTTCTGCCCAGCTTTCTCATCCATCTCGTCAGACTTCTTGCCCCTCTCTTTAGATTTCATTTCGGTAGCCCCCGACTCCTCACTTTCTGATAAGGCAGTAGATGAAAAATGATCACCTTTTAATTTACCTTGCTGAGGAGAATTTCCAGAAAATCGTTTTGCATATCCTGATCCACTCTTATTGCCCCCAACATCAGGTATGCTACCCAAAGCAGGGGTTTCATCATTACTGGAAACAATAGGAACAAAGTTGGTTCTTCTTGCTGTACGGGAATTCTTTTGTGGCGCCCACTGGGCAACAGATGGTGATGAAGATCGGGCTGCAGGTGTACGCCTACGATTGTTAGCCCCAACAGCTGCAGGAAGTTTGCTTGTACAAGGAGAAAGTTCCCAATCATTAGCAGGAGCTGCCCGTTGAACCACTGGGGAAAACTTGGGTAAAACACCTGAACCTGACCGTGCAGCCCGAGCACTTGCATTCACTTTTGTGGTTGAGGTAGGACTACCCACACTCAAATCTTCTCGAGCATTTGTCCTAGTTGTACAGTATAAAGAACATCATCTGACTTGAAAAAACAAAAGTGAAATCTGAGAGGAAAAACATCTGCAAAGCAAGTACCTACCCCCCCCCCCCCAAAAAAAAAAAAAAAAA